CTTTTCCTAAAATTAAATAAATAAAGTTGCTCACCCCCTTAAAATTTGGTCTCAGGATAACTCTGGTTGTCTCCCTTCGATGGCACCCCTACATCTCTTTATTTAAGAAAGAATACTGGTTTATTGAAAATGGTTTAGAGGAGAGTATTGGGATTACACCTCATACATTTATCTCCCATTATCTGCTTCGGGTAGCTGTTTCTTCCTCATCAGGGTACTGTCTTCCACCTGTTGCCATCCTTCACTCTGTGGTGAGACTGTGACTGGGTAAGTTATCTTTTTGTATATATATACCTCTTCTTTTTCAGGGGCTTGTCCCTTTTTTTTTAGGACCCCACTCTGTAGCGAATGGTGCCTGTCCAGCTATATTTTAACTAGTCAAATCTGCACTGTAAGGCCATGATGACTTCACAATTATAACTTCTATGGCCACTAAATGCACATTGTTGAGGTGGGGTGTTCCACAAGAACACTTGTAAATTTTTCTCACGATATATCTGCTTCATTAACTCTCTCAACACAGGCTTGGTCAAGTTGACTGATCATGTGACCTTTTTGTACTCGTTTAAAGTCTCTATAGTTTTAATACTTCTAACTTTCGATATAGTGTGTATATCTTCACAAAATTTGGCAGTCTTTCAGTTAATAAGTCTGCCACATACAAAAAAAATCATATTTTTTAAGAAGTATTTGTAATAAAAATAAAGATTTGTCCATGAATATATTGAGTATTTGTTATGAATAGTCTGTGTGCAAAGTAATTTTCATGCTAAAATAAAAAATACTTTTCCTCATCTCAAAAATCTCAAATTTCCTTTGTGTAATCTCTAAAACCTCATAAACACATTTCAAACAGTTTTTTTTCAGTAAAAATTTATAGTTTTTCTGTTATTTTCTCTACCCTATCTCAAAACGGGATTGGTCAATTCAACCGATCTTGTAACCACCACAGGTCTATCCGAGGAGATGTAGCTTTGGAGTGAGCCATCAAAATTGCAGTTCACTCCTTCCAAAAAAAAACAGCACAAGGTGTGGCTTCCTGTCTTCACACCTGGCCAGATTGTACTGTCTCTATTCACAACAACCAACTGTTTAGTCTGTCAGTGTTAGACCATATACAGATGTCAGATAATTCCCATTTGGTCCATGTACCTCTTTAATATTCTCCCCTTACACACATTCCTTTCTCCTTCCCATTTTCTTCTTGTGCAGTGGGAGAACTCTTACTGCCCCAGTACCAAGCCACTCAGTAGGTTAATGTAACAAATTACCCTTTGTATTGGTGCAATCCCATTGGTATGAGAATGAGTGGACAGATCCCTTGATAGAAGTAGGGCAGAGGTATTTATCTGACAGTATAATAAAGGACACCTCCTACACTGAACTAGACCATTTCCAGTGGTTATGACCAATTAGATTGGTCTTGTATTCTCCTCAGGACACAGGCCTAGGATGATTCATCTGACATGTATTTTACACAAGTATTTCTCACATACTGTATGGCTTGATTTATTGCCCTAGCTATACTAAACTTTTGCAGTCTTCTGACTCTTTGAAATATATAGATTGGTTGAATAGCCTTTACATTCTGCTTATTTTAGCACCAATGCAGGAGGTTCTTTTGACTACCTTTCTGTATTACCACTTGTACAGGACAAAGAGTATTCCTTGCCTGAGATGAATGCGATGTCCCACTAAGTGATGATCCCATTAATTCCCTCTCTGGTCAGTAGCACACTTCATGAGCTTTCCCTCTTTATCGTTATATTCTCAGAAAGGAACCCATCATTTCAATTTCTTTATCTACGCCATTTTTTTAGTATAGGATTCTAGCTATCTGTTTTGTGGAGAGAAGAATAGTATTCATGAAGTAAACATTTTCCTTACCTGAAAACATATTTGTGATAGATATACACCTCTCCACATAATCACCCACCCTTTTTCTCCACTTCCGTTGTGTATGTTTTGCCTCATGAGCTTTTAATATATACAAAGTGCTCTAGGAGAGTAATTTGCATGGAGGGTTATAATCTACTGCTGATTGTATCATAGACTGACACAAAACACATTATCACATGTTGGTTGTGAGGGGGTTTTATTCAAAGACTTATCGCATATGCAAAAACGTTTTGGTAATTTGAAGTATTAGCTATCTGTTCAGTGGAAAGGTGAGTATCTATTTGAAGTACACTTTCAGATAAGGAAAATGTTAATTTTTTTGCAGAATGTATAATTAAATTGTGAGCATAGATTAAATCAAATGTCATGCAAATGTGTTATTCCCATATCACTTCTTTTCTACAAACGTATTATTGAACAGATGAGGCCACACTAAATCATGCAAAATTAGTCACATTGATTTGAGTACTCATAATACTTCTGTGGATGTGATAAAAGCCTAATAACATGAATTTATTGTAAAAGTTGATAACTAATAGTTAGTGTTAAACATGATTGGCATGTAATTAATATTTTTTGTAATCAAAAGTGCCTATGACCTTTCCTTTTGAAGGGTGGGAAAATTAAAAATGTGTGTGTTTTCTCTTCATCGTGAATTGTTATTACCATCAAAATAATGCATAAAATACTCTACAGGAATTAATAAGTGCTCAATAGCATTTGATAATGGAAGTTCTATAAATAACTTTCAGTACTTTCACATTTGTTTCATATAAATTAAAAGATGTTTTGCAAAGTTGTATGAAAAGGAGTTTGGTTTTCTCTTCATTTGTAATAAGTATCTATATCAGTAATAGATGTGTAAAAGTACTGGGTACTGGCCCTTTTTGAGACCATTGGTTAATCATACTAAACCTTATAACTGGCTACAATAATCAAGTTTGATATTCTTACTAACCATGCCACAAAATAACACTGATCTTTCTAATTATACAACAATGGAATTAGACAAAAATATTTACATAAAGTAATGAGACTGAGTATAACACTAACTTTATATATATATATATATATATAACACATTTAAGATTAAAACCAGATGTCAAGGTATTAGTTGAAGATATAAATAAATGGAAACTCAGATTGGCTAGATTATTAGTTTAATGTACACAGACATAAAAATTATATGTAAAAACCACACAGAAGATACAAGACTAAGTTTAAGAAAGAAAAAAAATACTAGTTTCAGTGGTATTAAAGTCTAGGAAAACTTTAATTTGACACAATATTTTGGGCCTAAACCCTTCATCAGGTGATGTCTTTTAAACTCATGACATCACCTGAAAAAGGGTTTAGACTTGAAATGTTTTGTCAAATTAAAGTTTTCCTATATTTCATTACTATTGTATTTAGTGTTTTTTTCTTTCTCAAACTCAGATTATTAGTTTGTTTATTTTCATCACTATGGTTCACTTAAATACATTTCAAGGGAATTCATTTGACAGCAGATGGTTGACTTTTTTTCATTGTTAATCTTTATAGTGTCAAGAATCTTGAGAATTAGGGCTAATAGGATAAAAATTATTTCCAACTAATGACCTTTTGTTTTTATGAAAGGATAAACATAAGGCTGAGTAAAATACTGTGCATTTTAGACATTATGAAAAATGTCTGAGATGCCCCCTTGTGGTTTCACATGCCACTTTGGCTTTATTGACCTATACTTATTTTGATGTTTTGTGCTGTAGAATGTGGATAAGATTGAAATTCTTATGGTTTTAAGTGCTTTCATTAAAAATTTTTAGATCTACTGAATAATTTCATAAGAAATGTGTTATAAATATGGTGTACTCAACTGCTTTAGTGAAGTTGGTTAATATGGTAAATGTGCACTTTCCTATATTTTTGTTTTACCAGGATGAAAAAGAAATTTTACACTTGGGAAGAATGTATGAACCTAAGAGAGGTGAAGGTATGTGTAGGTTATTGTTTTCTTGTATTTCTATTTGTGCTACAGATTTTGTGATGATTTTATTTATATACTAATATGTGTTTAAACTACTATCTGTTAATAGTCTTGGTTTAATATTTTTTTCTAATAATTATCGTCTAATATTGAAGGTACAATCTAAAAATATTCATAGATTCCATATTGTATGAGTAAACAGTAAAAAAAAAGTAGAGTTTGTGCTGAATTCAATGATTCAGCAATAACATTTTCACTTTGCATACAGTTGGTGAATGTTTAGAAACAACACTCAAAATGAACTGTAACTTCATAAATAGGAAAGCAGTTGCTTTCTATTGATTAATAGAGCTGCTTTCTTGGAATAAGGTTAGTAGAATCAGGAACGAAGAAAGCAGAGCACATATGTGGAGCAAAAGATCAATAAGTTTGTTCTGTGCAATGCCCTTTCTGTGGTTGCTAGGTTACAAGTGAAAACATCACTAAATAGTGGAAGATACTCAGACAACTAACCTTTTTGTTTTCACTGTTTTTTACCTGATAGATATATTTGAGATGAGCTGTGACAGATTTTTCTATTAACTTCCTAACAGTCATCTTGTAACAGTTAGAAAAATATTTCTGCATATAGAAGACAGTCATAGTAATTCATTCAAACTATACCTGTGACATTTATTGCTTATGAATGTTTAATTTCTATGCATCATTATTACTTATTTTTGCATAAAAAGTTTTGTTATAAAAAACTGGAAAGTAAACTGCCATTTTGCCATACATTAAATTTAAGATATGTCATTTGACTACATTGATATTTTCTAAAGATTAAAACTACCTTTCTATCTCATTGTATAACCAAAAGCATTGTTTGTAGTGTCAAATCTAACGAGACATAAAGCTTTGCAGCTAGAAAGTTTGATGAAATGTAACAATGTGAGTATTTATAATTTGCAGCACTTCAAATCAACATATTTACAGGTTTCCAGAAAAAGGGGATATACAGAATATTCCACCTACATATTTCTTTATTTAAATTCAACCTTATTTCTATATTTATATAATTAACCAAAAGTTATAGTGCCAAATCTGGTGAGACTTGAAGCATCTTAGGCTAGAAAGTATGATGAAACATGATGTTAAGCTTGATTATAATTTTCAACACTTCATTATTTATCGGCATATTATAGATTTCTAGCAAAAAGAAGTCATTATTTCAATCACACACACTCTTTATATAAATACATAACCCTCAGAAGTATATGACGAAAATGTATAATATATCTGTTAGTAGTTTGAAATGTTGTTTCCAGACCTCCAAAGGTAAATAAACCATGTTTAATTATCTTAAAGAAATGCACTTTCTTTTGTTTATGGTTGCAAGAAAAATAGGGCATTAATAATATGTTAATTATTCTTTGTTTTGGGCTGTTGATACTCAATTCTGAAAACTTTTACTGGGCCATGTAGAAATAGAGAGTTAAAATTACAAGCCCATTTATTTTGTTATAGCATCATAATTTTAAGTTCAAAATATGTAATAAATATAAAAACAAATAGTTTTAGTTTCTGAGGCAAAGAAAAGACTTTCATTTTAACATGTAGACGTATGGAAGCGTAAAATTGCATTAAAAATATATACAGCATATATGACAAACCTGTTATGAATCCTAACAAAAATAGTCAGCATTGCAAGACTAATAGTATTAATACATTTAAATCTGTAATTTGTTTTTGTTCTAAGAAGAGTGTAATACTAAAAGTTTTAAGTTGAATTTCTATTTGGGATTTTCAGTTTTTTTAAGTTTACATATTTACTAGCTTTCATTTCTCATTGTATTTCAAATACTTAAGCATGGATTATAAAAATATCGAAAATAATGTGTTAAAACGTGAGTAGTATCTTAAATTATATGATCTACAAAATATTAGTTAGTTTATTATTAATGAAATATCAAAATAAACATCAATAATACAAATGCAATTCATTACAATTAGAAATGTAAGAATTTAAAAGAGCGGGTTGAAGTTATTAAAATGCTGTAGAATAACAAACTCATACATGTTCTTTGTGAGTGTGAAGTAATAATTTTTTAAGGTTTTTCAGTGTAAAACTAGTAAAATAATTTTGTGTTTTTTTTAAGTCTTTGCAGAAGCTGAGCCATCCAAACCTAGTTAAATTAAAGGAAGTTATACGAGAAGATAACACTTTGTTCTTCGTTTTTGAGTACATGAAAGAGAATCTGTACCAACTTATTAAAGACAGGTAATGTAAAAAATCTATAAGAATATTCAGAAAGATAAATCATACAGTAGCAGGTCATTAAAGACAGGTAGGTTATTATTATTGTTATACTGGTTAAAAAGAGAACCTGTACCACATTATGAAAGGCAGTTAGTTTGTTATCATTCTTATAATAATATAGAAAGAAACCTGTACCAGTTGTTATAAACAAGTAGCTTATTATCATTGTAATAGTATTTAGAAAAAGAACCTGTATCAGATCATTAAAGACAAGCAGTTTCTTATCATTGTTATTACCAGTGTTAGAGTAGTTTGAAAGGAAAGTTCAATTAGATATTTAAAGATGTGAGGTTTACTAACATTATTATAGTATAACATAACCTATAGACAACAAACAGGAGCATGTTCACCTGGGTGGCAGCAGACCCCACATTGGAAAGCTGAGGAAAGTAAAAATTTAAACTCATCTTAATGTTCTTTATTTGTCAGGAAATCATTGCTTTCCTTCTTAAATTTTTGTAAATTCCTGGCCTCCACTATTGCTGCTGGCAACTCATTCCTGTCAGAAATATATAACTGTCTTAATTGGAGCCTAGCCTATCTTTTTAAAATCTTAAACTTGTGTCCTTTCATGTTATTATCTTCAGAATATAGCACAGAGAAATCAGAGGCCTGTACTCTATCTATCCTTCTAAATGATTTTATGAACTCCAGTAATGTCATCTTTTACCATCCTTACCATGAGAAATTAAATTAACAGATCTTAAACTATTCCTGAAAGATAATCCAGCTGTGGATTCATCTTGGTAGCTCTCCTCTGAACCATTTTAAATAAATCAGTATTCTTTCTTAAATAAAGAGATGTAGGGGTGCCATCGAAGGGAGACAACCAGAGTTATCCTGAGACCAAATTTTGAGGGGGTGAGCAACTTTATTTATTTAATTCTAGGAAAAGTCACAAATGCACAGCTGACAAATAGAGTAGAGATGTGGTAAAATGACTGTTAATATTAGGTTGTCAAGAAATTAATATCGGTTTTTTTAGATGAAAAAACCCGAACAGCTTATATATCAAACAAAACATTTATTAAATTAATTAGTCTCCATTCTTATCGATGATGCTTTTCCATATTACAATCAGGTTGTTAATGCCCTGATTAAAGAAATCACTTGGCTTTGAAGCAAAAAACATGTCAATATCCTTTACCTTCCACATTTGCATATGTTTTCCCATTAAGATGGTGTTGCAGTGAATGAAAAAGATGGTAATCTAATGGTGCCATATCTGGAGAATAGGTTGGGTGGGGGAGAACTTCCCAATCCAACTCCATAATCTTGTGTTCCAGCAAACATGCCAGATGTGGATGTGCATTGTCGTGGAGAAGAAGATCACCTTTTGATTGACAAGTGAAGGGTGTTTCTGATAAAGGGCTTGATTTAAACATTCCAGTTGCTGACTATTGATCTCTGCATTGACAGTTTGCTGTGGATTGAGGAGTTCGAAATGAATTACTCCTTTGATGTCCCACCAAATGCAAAGCATCACTTTCTGCGAATGGAGTCCAGGTTTTGGGGTCAGAAGTGGTTTTTTGTCTGGGACTAAGCCATTGCTTTTGACATTTAATATTCGCATAGAGAATCCATTTTTCATCACCGGTGACAATTCTGTCCAAAAATGGTTCACACACATTACTGACTAGAAGAAATAAAGCAGCGTTCACACATTGGAAACAGTTATCATCGAAGTGTTCGTGAGGCACCCAAACACCTTCTTTTTGGAGTTTTCCCATATTCCTTAGATGTTTACGTATTGTTTCATGAGAAACATGCAATTTCAGGGCCATTTCACGAGTGTGTTGCCTTGGGTTACACTCAGCAAGTGTCTTCAGAGCATCAATATCAATTCCAACATGTCAGCCTCTGCCATCACAGTTTTTAAGGCTAAAGTCACCTAAACGAAATTTGCTGAACCATCGTTGACACTCACGAACATTTAAAACATTTCCATAAATTTCTATGATATTTTTTGTGGCTACAGAGGCATTGTTTCCCTTCTTGTATTCAAACAGCATTACATGCTGAATGTGTGTCTCGTTGTGTGCCATCACTATAAGGGATTAGAGTATACTAAACTTTACACATTATACAGGCTACACTAATGTGACATTTAGGTGGTTCGTTTAACTATTATAGGTGATGTACATTTTTTAGGGGGTGGTTAATGAAAGTGTTCCAAAACACGACATTAATTTCTTGACGACCTAATAATAGGCAGCAGAAAGTATTTTCAGTTGCATCAAGTCTTGTGTATTCTATTGTTAAAACAAGTAGGTATTGGCTATAATAGCAGGAATTTAAGCTACTAGTGGAACTCAGCATGGATACCTGCATGAGAAAAATATTGAGTTGCTTTGGCTTCTTTTACATAGGAAAAAATTTACATAAAATAACATATGATGAGTGTGTATATCTAAACAAATATGAAGTGAATGATATGAATAGATTTACTGTATTTTAATTAAGATGAATTGGACATATCTTCTCATGAGTGATAAGTGAGGTTTTTATTAAAGTGGGAGCAAAAATAATTAGAAAGGTGCTTATGAAGCAAAACCTGTCAATGTACACTTGCTGGATGGATCAAAGTGCACATTTCATGACTTTTTTATGAAGTTACATTCAAAATTTAAACTACTTTATTATTAATGTATTTGAATAAACTTGGCATCAAAACATAATTTATTATAATTCAAATTGTTATATTACCTAAGTTTTAATTTCTTAACTTCAAAAGGAAATATTTAAGCAAGTTCTCAATTTTCACTTCTGTGTACCATGTGACACTTCTTTGTTCTGAATCTCCGGAGTTTATCACAAATTATAAATTTATAATATAGATATTACTAAGATAGAATATAAACTTATTGCCTCCAATCTTCTTGCTTTACTGAGATATAAACGAGAGTCAAACCCACATGCTATGCCCTACTATCACATCCTGTCTTTCAAAAAATGTCAATAAATCTCTCTGACATATTCTATTGGATTACTTATAACCAGTAGAAAGAGAAGGTTTTAATTTACTGAACTCTTTTATAAAGCTAGTTCATTTTGGCAACAGTTGATGAATTATTTAGCCAACAGTTTCATTCTCTGCTATCACTGAGTCAACTCAACCAACTAGTGGAATTATTTTAATCTACTTATACTTTAATTAGAAAGCTAGTTAAATTATGATAATTATAGGACATTGTATTCTTTGTTCATGTTATTATTTTGTGTTCTAAATTGCATACTGAAATAAATATAAGTACAAACAATAATCCTACCAAACAGTAGGGTTAACTTTTATCATGACTTCAAGAGTAAAAAAAGTACAAGTCCCACACATAAGTACAGAATTTCTTGTTTTTTATTTATATTTATATATTGTTATAGAAGTAACTAAAATGTAACATTTAGAAAGTTATTAGATTAGGCAAGAAAACTTAAATGAAAAATAATTAAATAAAAAATATTCAAAAGAATGAGCATAGATGATAATAATTCAGCTGTAGATGCTGATAATTCAAACCTTTGTTTAAAAAAAACTACCCTGTTGTGATAAATTGTTGTTTTTATCATCCTGTAAGTGCAACTGTAAAGCAATAAATCTAAATGACTGAAAATTATTAGTTTTGGCTGTAAAATTAGATAGTGTGTAATTGTCTGTTACAATATGCAGTCATTCTAAAAAGAAAAAAAAGAGGATAATTTAGATTTATTTATAATTTGTTTGTTATATGGTGGTTACAAGATCAGTCAAATTGACCAAGCCTGTATACAGTTAGTGTTATAAAGAAAATAACAGATGAAATGGAAAGTTTACTGAAAAACGTGATATGCATTTCAGAGATTCTACTGGTTATGCAAATGAAATATGAAACTGTAAGATAAAAAAGTATTTTTATTCTTAACATGAAATTCATCTTGCACTCAGACTAGTCAGAGTCTAAACCAGACTGACTTGGTAAACTCAAAGACAAATCTTTAGCAAAAATACTTTATTAAAAATTCTGATTTTTTCTTGCAGCTTAAATGTAACGTTTTCAAAAAACTTACCAAATATCTTGAAGATATACTTAGTAAATTCGAAGTTACTGTACACAATAATTCTTTAATATGAACTCAATCCAATGGACAGACTCTATGCACATAGTATTAAATGTGTAGTCCTTGTTATGATAACCAAAATGCATTACCTTGCACTTACTATAATTAAAGGTTATTTGCCAAATATTTAACAATGAACCAATTAATCCAGGATATTCTGTAATATACTTAGAAATAGTCAAGAGTTTACTTTCATCAGCAAGCATCATTAATTATGCCTCTATCAATGTCATTAATGGAAATAAGAAAGAATAAGGCCCAAGCACTGACCCTTGAGTTACCCCACTAGTAACAAGGGTCCAGTTTGATTGGACTCCAGTAATAACAACCCCTTTTCTTTCTCCCATCCAACCACCATACAATTCAATTATCTAGTCTTTCTCTAACCCTTACTGATGTGATTTTCGTAGCTAATCTTATGTGTGATACCTTATCAAAAGCTTTTTGAAAATCTAAGTGCACGAGTCCTTTATCCTTCATTCAGATAGCAAGTAACATCCTCCAAAAAAAGATAATAGATTAGTAAGGCAAGGTTGTCTTTTGGTGAATCTATTTTGGTTTTAATTTATATTTCAGTAAATGATTTTGTAAAGCTTTTTCTATCATACTTCCTAGAATTTCTCCCACTAGAGAAGTAATACTGTAGCATATCTACATGAAAGTGAATTAACTACAGAGCTACACCAGATAGGTCAGCTTGATAACTGGAGAAGTATTAAATCTCGCACTGACTGAGGCAACTTAAAATAAAATAAAGAGACTAGATATGAAGTGTAAAACTGAATGCACAATCTTTATTTTGGCAGAGAAACACAAACACAGATTTTGTACTTTTTATTTTAGTTACACTGGATGATCACTTCTACTAA